AGTGCTTAATTGCTTCCTTCACTCAAACTTCAACACCTCATAGATTACAGGATTTTTACATAACTGTTATTGGTTACTAGGTGTTCCTGCATATTTGAATAACTAATATTATCCACTTATGAAAACTCCGATGGCTACGGTGGGATTCGAAATCACGTTGGCTATTCCAATTTCTGGCCCTTTCTTTCGAGGGTTCGAAACCTCCTGAAGCTGTCCCAGTTTTTAAAAAATCATGTCCAATAAGACTTTTGATGCACAAAAATCTTATATGTTCTTCCTATCCCTTTCAGAAGACAGAAGCCGCTAAAGAAATCGCCAAACTTCCAAAGTAAGTGGCTATCGTAATCTTCGAAAATGCCAACCTACTGCATCTTATTTTTCTTCTTCCTCTTCGTCTTCTTAATCTTCTTCCTCTTCTTTTTTTTTCTTCTTCTTCGACAATCGTCTTTTGTCAATTTACTAATTCTGACACAGTCGTTATTGTACTGTCGCAAACTTGAATGTCTACAAATTTAGAGGAGAACTTGCAAACTTGGTATTTGCTGGCGAAATTTTCTTGCTTATGTTGGCCATACCTTCTACTGGATAACTTGACTGTGTAAATTTATCATGCATAATAAGAAAATTTCCTACGCTGGACTAGCTCGTGTTTTCTCTTTAGCAGAATCAAAGACGGGGGTCAAAGGTATTGCTGCCCGTCAAACTGAGGACTCTTCAGTGCGGCTGAAGGAAATAGGTAGTGAACATACCCAAGGTATGCAAGTGAGATGGCCGAGTGAGCAACCATAGAATGGCATTGGGGGTGAATAACGTACCAGTCCATCCACTGCTTTCTAGAAGTCGCTCAGACAAGCGATATTAGCGAAAGTGGCCTGTAAATAAAATAGACTGAAAATTTGCGCGGAGCAGTTGCGACTTCATCTATTTTGCAACCAAATAGTTCATTGGTTTTCGCTTCTTTGTAGATGGTACCGTGAGTTGATTCCCAAACCTATTAAAGACAACTACAAGAGTGGACCAGCTCTAATTACTGCACAGATGAAAATTGCACCGAAACTTCTACGCCTCTGCTGGCAAGGTCTTCCTCTGCACTTCGATCGGGTATGTTGGCATCTCTTTACACTCATATATGCACATCCAAAATCACCACGCAACTTTCATGCCGCAACCAATTTGATAAATTAGGCATCACTAATCATAGTGGACAGGCTATCTGCGGATGGCGTATTTCAGAACTAGGCTTTAGGTCAAGTAGGTCTCTGCGTCCAGTCTTATTTACAGTTTACTTGCGTCACTAACTACACATACAGTAAATTCCTTATCTCTAAAATGTTAACCGACATTCTAAAGTTGGCTTTAGATTCGAAAAAAAAATTACTTAAGGGAGGTTACCATATTGATTATCGTTCTTTCTGGCCGTCTGCAAACATTTGGCTACCTAAGTAGTGCGCTCTTTTATTGATTTTGGATGCTTCTATAAATTTAAATATATTTTACAGAAATCATGCACAAACATTTTGCTCGTTAAGTAGCAATTTCATTTTAGTTTAATTTTATAATTGAAAGAGTATCTATCTGTGTTAAAAAACTTTTTAAGTTGCCGAATAATTTTGAAACCTGCCGGTCGTTGCACTTGAATTCAGGGTTTCCAAACTGCATCCTGCATTCATTCTATCTAAGTACAATCACACAGTTATGAGGAAGTTGTCAGGTCAGGTCGGGTTTATTAAGAGGAATATAGACAAACGCATTTGAACTCCCTTTCGGTACACAGTAGTGAAGAAATCTGTCGGTACAGCAGAACATTTCAAAAGTGGTCGTTTATATAATTGCAGGTGAGACTCGGTTATTTCTGAAAAGTAAACGTACATGGCTACTTATTTGTTCCAAGTAATATAATCACACGTGTTGATGTCAGTTGATACGAACCAGCAGGTGTAACTGAGCAAAAAAGCAGACAGTGAAAAAAAAATGAGAATACATGGTTCGGAAATTCTAGAAGTTGGAATGTCTTTTGTGGGATTTTAAAAAGAAAAAAACTGTCGCTCGTATCATTATTTAGCATTCTAACTATAATACTTTATAGTTCAGATTTAATAAATTGATAGATAGGATCTACTATGAATAAACGACTCACCTTTCTGCTCCTCACACGTCTTTGCGTCATACTAAAAAATACAGCAGGGTGTTTTATAAAGGCATTTCACATACGAGCATCTTGCTAGTAATTCCTGAATTCCTGACGTACGTCGCTCTGTCACGGTGAGAGTTAGTGTTCGGAAAAATGCCTTTATTAACCAGACTCATTTCTTACAGGATGAATGAGAAAGTAAAAATATTTTTCCCCCAAAGCTAGCACTTGCACCGGTGTAAACCACAAGCAGAAACAGGATCGTATGTGCCTGTGCTCGTACCATTTATACATCAGCTTCCGTTATTTTTGTGGGCATAATCGATTCCAACTTGAATTCGCCTATTTCACAGGAACTCATGTGGGGTACGCTAATACCTGGACGCATACCAAAGCCAGTCGGTGATCCGAGGTTCTACGAGCAGCAAGCTACAGGCAGCCGGAAAACCGCGTCCAAATGCACGCCCGCACTTCTGCCCTCCATCCCGGCAACCAAACGTACGGCTGCGGGAGTCCAGGAGTTGCATTTTCCTTACAAGTGGGTACTGCCTTGGCAACATTTACCAAGAGCTTTTCTAACTTTCACCTCTTGATCCAAACCAAGGCAACAGTTCACACATACAGAAGATTGCCTATTTCATGAAATGTCGAAATCGAAATAGCAGGTGGTAGTATAGCCCACATTTGAGGTTGTTACTTTTGCTTGTTGAGTTGAGTCGAGGTACAGAGAGCTTTTCAACAAAGGAGAGTTCATTTATGATCAGTTTATAGAAAGAAAAGGAAGCAAACCGTAATTGGGAAAAGTCTGACGTTTCTTTATATCCAGATAATTTTCTACGCTATTAAAAGGTGTGCATCAAGACCGCTTGCTTGTGCGTGTTGTACTATAAACGAACATTGATATAAGCCGGGAACATGTGATATTCAACCCTTTAGAAAATCAGGTAAATTCAGCTGTAAGAAATCACATAGTTTCCAGGAAAACAAAGAATTCAGTTTAAAAAATTCAGTTTTGCAAATCTGTACAGTTTTGTGCTAGAAAACTCAATAATAAACTTTTTTTGACTCTTGAAATTTGGCAAAAGGACATTTATCTTAATATAAAAAGATGCTTTTAAAATAACAACGAACAGTTCTATTTATAGTGTTTAGTCACTGACCAGTCTTTCAACATGTGGGTTTGTGTAATATCGTGTGCCTGTGATAAAAGTATTGCCCCAGCTATCTAATCTCTTTCTCGATTACGTCCTGGGACACGTATGTTTT